TATTATTACTTCTTTTGTTCTCCTATCCTACCTTTGTCAACTCTATACACTGCTGAAACACGCAGTCTTCTTAAATTTATTTACGGTTGGAGGTAAATCAATGAAGATCAGAGGAGGAGAAAGGTATAAAGGAAAGAAAAGGGGAAATGGGGGAGAAAGAGAAAGAAAAGGGGATGTTGAACCTGGAGGAGGAACCTGTCACAACTCTGAGGGGGCTGGCGTCCTGGTGACAGTTGTTATGGCAACCGTGGGACAGACGCAGGAGACGGCAGGGGGTGATGATGTCACAAGAGCAAAATAGACTTGCAAAGAGAGGCAGATAAACATGTAATGTGTTTTTTTCTCTATCAAACCCTTCACTCCTTCCGCCACCTTGCCAAATTCTGAGAGCTTCAGATCTTTAAAAAATCATTTAAACATTATGTTTTCAAAAAACTATTGGATAGGAATAGAAGCCAAAGAATAGAAGGAAAGGGGGAGAAAGAGAGGATGACATGCAGCAAAGGACCGAGGTTGGAATTGAACCCGGGGATAAGGACTTGACCTTAGTACATGGTACCAGGCGAGCTACCGGCCATGATACCTTTGTGATATAAAAAAAGAACAGTCTCCCTCTTGATGTGCTGTAAATCATAGACTTTCCCGTAAAATCTGACCCAGTGGTTTAAAAAGTACAGCCATAGGACATAAGGGCCAGCTATAGAGGGGACTATAGTCGATAGTCTTAGTCGAAGCATTTTTCATTAGTTGAATAGTCCAACAATCGCAGAAAAAAAAGTAAAGTAGCTTGTCACAGAGACTAAGGTATTAAGATTAAGATTAAGATTTACTTTATTAATCCCCCATTGGAGAAATTCTTTACCTGGAGATTGTTGCAATACAGACCTTAGTTCTTGTAACACAGTATCTACCTGGACTGGGACCTTGAAGGACAGGGCCAGGTTTGTTTACACTGCTAGGATAGGAGATAGCATAGGAGAATGAGAACGAGAACTGAAACCGGGCAAGCATGAAACCTCAGAGGCCTACGTAGGGGAGGTGACTCACAGCAGCTCTGACTAGGACTCTGACTCTAGAAAGGACCAAGACACAGTGGGTTCAGGCATGGACAGGAGAGGCATGAGAGGCATGAGAGGCATGAGAGGCGTGAAGTATTCGCGAGTTGATGTAAGTAACTTTTTCACCTCCTAAGGCAATCCCACCGGTAACCTCACAGCCTGAAACCTACTTCTGTAGCCTTTAGGTTTCTGTCACCTCCACTGCTACGCCGGGTCAGTTATACAAAGTGTTGCACAACTGTTGTGATAAAAAATGTTTTATAAGCCCAAGCAGGAAGCAGGAAGGCACAAGGACCTGAACCCCTTTTTTGCTGGATGATTAATCACATCATCTCTCCCTCTCACACATAAACACACAGACACACTTTGGAAGTCTACCTATCATCAAAGCTATATGGCATCGGCGAGACTTGTGCTGTAATTAGGACAACATGTACAGTCAGAAATAGAGAGTGAGCGTGTGTGTCGTGCTTGTTAAGAGTTCTTCACAGGTTCACAGGTCTCTGCTGCCTAGGACCAAACATAACATGCAATCTGCCACATTAAAGGGTTATCCAACACTGACTCATAGTGATGAGGAGCCCACTGACAGCCCTCTATAGGCTTGAAAGCATTGGTTAAATGCATGGATTTATTAAGATGCTAAAAAACTGGAGCATTGCAATACTGCAACTGTGAAAGAGACATCTGTAAAACTGTTAACAAGAAACCTTGAAGTAAGAACAAAATTCGCTGGAGGTAACAAAATCATTACAACATTAAAAAAATATATCAAACTGGAAAAACATTACTAGGGCACTCTGAGCTTAGCTGAAAGTTTTTTGTTCAGTTTGTCTGTTTTCACTGTGTGTTTGATTCCTAAGAAGCTGCTGTTTATTGCTATGTGTAGTTGAACAACACACAAGTTACTGACCACCAATAATGGCATTTTTCCATACACATGGTGCTGGCTTGGCTTGGCACACCAGCAACCGGGCTACCTACTTGTTGCTGGGTCTTTAAAGGCAGAGAGCCGTCTGCTGTACATGCATATATGTCTGAGTCTCACATGTATTTTGAAGGGGACGTCGTCACAGGTTGGCAGCGGTCGGAACCGCTTGGAGGCGGGTCGGGCCCTACTCCAGGTCCATCTCAGGCGCAGCTAACTCAGCGTGTTAAATGCAATGGAAATGCAAATCAGCGTGACATGGTTTGACTCGGCACGACCAAAAGTGCTAATGGTGTTAAGTGCAACAAGCCTCTGTTAAGGTCAACCTCGACATGGCGTCTTTTGCTCTCCATTGGTAAGTGTTAACTCTCTTGCTGTGCATGATTAAATATGTTTTGAGTTAGGAACGCTTACTAGCTCGCTAATGATGCCAGGTTATCTATATTATATAGCAAACCTCTGAGCTAACACTAGTCTTATATGCCACATCAGTAACTCTGTAAAGTAGCTCAAAATCAGGAGGCTGTTATCCCAGCTTAGTTAGTAAGCTATTAGCCCAGCAAGTCTGGCTCTGTCTAAGGGTTTAAGTGACGCCTACCAACACTTCTCAGTATCTCTAATTAAATGATATGATATGTAGATATGTAAAAAAGACAATTAAGAAGCAGGAATATTTAAGTGTTGCAGTTTTAACCCCTTGCTTCAAGTCTTTGTACAAGACATGTCAAATCAAGTCAAATATTATTTATTTAGCCCAGAATCACAAATCACAATTTGTGCAGCATACAACTCCCCCTGTCCTTACACCCTTGATTCAGATAAGGAAAAACTCCTCACGAGGAAGAGGAGGGATCCCTCTCGCAAGACGGAGAAACATGCAATAGATGTCGCATCTGATGTTGTGTCACATCATCACAGAGCTATTATCTGTACAAAACACACGCAGAGATTACATTTAAATAAATCCTGTGACTCTTTAAAAGGAAATAAGTGAATTTTCCAAAAAGCCAAAAAAAACCCTGTTATTTTAAACAGATGCTACGTCGCTAGCTTGCAGAATAGCATTTCAGCTGGTGTCAGTAAAGAGTTTTATGTTTCAAAGAAAGACACAGAAAGAGGACATGAAGTGATAAAGACAGAAAAAGAGTGGAGACATTCTAGAAAAGAAGCACACAGATACAGTGTTTGTGTGTGTGTTCAGGGTGGGTGAGCTTTTCTGCTTGTGTAACCTTTCACTGCACGTCAGAGCGCCAGACCAAAAAACTACGGGGGCACGGTAAATCACGCACATTGTCTATTCTACATGCGAGGACCCTTTTTTACATAATGATAATTATATTTCCCAGAAGCCTGGACAAAATGTCCTCTCCTTTTTGGTTTTCACAAAGACAGAAGTACAAGAGAACACACACAGCTATGAGTAGAGAAGTAAAAGTAAATGAGTTATTCCTGCATTCAATCTCTGACTCTTTGTCTCTCTCATTTAGTTGAACCTCGATGTTTATTTTTTACTGCAAATTAAGTCCACGCGTGGGAGAAACGTTACTATGATACATTATGTTTATGAAATGGAAAACGACAAGTTAACAAGGTTCTTTTTTTTGATGGTGCTGCCCCTCCTCCCTCCTTTTTTCATTTTAAATCCTCAAAACTGTAAATACTAAAAACCGCAGGCTGTTTTCTTTCTGTAATGAGGTCAAAGTCATCCAAAGACTGATGCCATTTAAGTTATCCATCCAAAGTTTAAATCTTACCTCCCCCACACACACACACACACACACACACACACACACACACACACACACACACACACACACACACACACACACACACACACACACACACACACACACACACACACACACACACACACACACACACACACACACACACACACACACACACACACACACACACACACACACACACACACACACACACACACACACACACACACACACACTCGGCATCTAATAGAACTAATAGATGATTCATTGGGTTATGTAACACATACTGGCAACAGAAGAGATGAGAGGAGAGGAGGAGACGAGAGAGTTTAGAGGAGTTTGTTTCCTTTGAGAGGACAGAAGGCCAAAGGCTGATGTGGAGAGCTTGTCTGGTCACACATGTGGACAGTACAGCCGCTGGTTCTGTTTGTTCTGACAGCTCTGTTTAAAAAAAAAAAATGTGTCTCTAAATGCAATTTCATACATCAGGCAGATGAGAAATTATAAGATGTGGTTGTACTGTATGTTCTGTGCTGGATATTTATAAAATGCAAGGAAATTCTGTGAAAAGTATATTGCCAGTCTTAACACTGCTTGTACATCGTGACGTGTGAGGCACAGAAATTAAGTTTAAAATCAATGAACTAACAAATTTCATGCAGTCATCACCAAATTTGGAAAAATATTTGGATAAGCCAGAAAATGTTGCGTTAGTTTAATATAACATACAATATTCCTATATTTTGCTGTTACAATATAATTTCCTATGATTTTATATTATATTATAATTTTCCAAAATCCTGTAATAAGCAACTCCAGGTGATGTAGCCGCTGACGACGATCTAGTTACACAGGAGGTGGATGTTGTTTTTTTTTGTTGGCTGAATGTACAGCAGGTTTCAGGCTATGCTTCATGTACACTGCATTTTATGTGAGCTTATGAAGTAGGTCTGAGCATATGTTTTACATTCATATGATGTGTTTTTATGTAGGCTATATTAAGTCTGTGTGTGTTCTGGAATATGTTTCACTTGGCTGCAAGACAACTTTCCATTATCCTTAAAGTTAAAACTGAAGTGGATCCAGCAACATCTTGTGGTATTTTGAATGTAGTTTTACAACAGTATGATTTATTGATTTATTGATCATATGAAAACAAAGTGATCATAACTCATCGCTCTGACTCACTTGAAACTTTGTACGGTGCTTTCTAGTTCTAGTTTCTGGTATTGGTTAACTTAACAGGAACATTGTCAACAACAGTCATAATCTACCATTTTGACTCACCAGGCATCCCCTCATCTTCAACATCTCCGTCGTTGTCTTCGTCTTCATCAGTGACATAGCAGATCTCTCCCTCCCCCTTCCTCCTACTCAGCCGCTCCTCCTCTTCATCAGACATCCTGACCTACTGCTGCTACCTCAGCATGGCCACACTACACAACTGAAACAAAGAGTACGGGCATGAATGAATGGATGAACAAGCACAGACACACTCAATCCATTTTTGATGCACAGTAAATAATGCGTCTCTCAGCACAGACAGTTTGAAGCTTTTCTCATCAGAGGAAAGACAACAGGAAGGGGGAAACTCAATGAGAAGAGTTCTGCGCTCTCCAAAGCACTCTACACACTGATGATTTTGCCTACCTCAAACAGACTGAATTTGGAGGCAACAAATACCAAATCCTACTTAATGTTACTTTAAGAGGGCTTATGGTAGAATCTATGCGTCAAAAGTAATGAGCCGCTCACAGTTGGTTTTGCAAAGACTTAAAGGTCCGGACGTTTTTTTTTTTATCTACAGACACTGCAAGTCGCCTTCCACAGAGTCTGCCATGTTGAACTGCCATGTTTCTACAGTAGTCTAGAAAGGACAAACCAAACACTGGCTCTAGAGAGGGCTGTTCATGAGTTTCATGGCCACTGTAGTTTCTCCTACACACGTCACAGCCCGTTTTCAATCCTAATTCATCAAATACAGACGCGAGCAGTGTTCACTTCGCTGCAAACTGCAACTTCCCCGCTAGATGCCATTCAATCCTACACACTAGACCTTTAAAACTCTTCCCTGAAACCTATACTGACTACTTCCCAACACTCATCCTGACTTTAAACAAATTATAATTCTAAACATAACTCTAAAACTAAATCCGAACCTTAAAATAAATGTTAACATTCTGGGAGCGATGCCACCTCTTGTCCCCTGATGAAACATCGAGTCCCCATCAAAGTATCTGCATGGTCGGATTTTTGCCCCCATCATAATTACAGGTACACATGCTCCCATGTCTTTATACCATCATTATTTATACCCCATATTTAGGACAGAACGAGAAAACTCTTGCAACTGGAATTTAATTTGCATTTGGGAAATATCGCAGGATAAGAACTCCTCTCGCCTTTATGTCCCAATCCGCCATGTATTCATACAGGGTAAGAAAAATTTGGACTAGTTCAGTCTGCAACTTTCACTTTTCTGTCTGGCAAAAATGGCAACACTTCCCAGCTACAGATACGCACAAGGACAGATTGAATTCCTGAAATGTATTTTCATTAAAAATCAAGGATGGAGTTCTTTGTGCAATATACACAATTTATGCTGTGACATAAGACAGCAGTTAAAGATGAGATCTAATCTAATCCTAAAGAGGCATATGCCCTATTAAATAGATATGTGATTTTTTTTTTTCATTTTAGAACAACAGAACTGCTGCCACACTGCACAAGTGCAGTTACTTGCATCCAAACTATCAGCGACATGTAGAGCAAACATCAAAAAGAAGATTGTATTATAGCGGCAATCGGCATTGTGAAGTCCTGAGGAAAAGTAATGGATTAGATTCTTTTGCGTAACGAAGGTCATGACCTGCAGATGAAAGACAGAGCTAGAGCAGATGGACAGAGGGAAATGTACAGCAGAGAAAGACAGACAATGAGAGAGGTGAAGAGCTCTCAAGAGTTTCTCGGATGCTTTTAAAGCTCCATCTCTCAGCAACAGGAAAATTACACTCATATTACTCAGAGGCTTTTCTCTGTGCCAGAGTGAAACAATCATAAACTAAAACCACAGACTACAGCCGTGCCCTTCATTATCAGATGTGGTTCAGAAAAAGGAAAGTTTTGTTCCTTCTTTGTTTTATAGCACTAGAATTCTGTTATGTACAAAAAGACTCATAATCATTATTTATATTTGTCTGTTCAAAGCAATTACAAAAATATCATTACCAATGTCGTAATCCACAGCAGTATTAGACAAACCTTGAGACCACTGAGCAATTTAGAAAACAAACTTTCTCAGGTCATTTATACAAACATAGAAAATCACATAATTCACCAAGGCCTCTGAGGATTTATAGTGAAGCACTTCCTTGGCCTACATCAACCACCGTGAGGAAGCGTCGCATTAGTTGTAGTTGTTATAAACAAAGGTTTTGAATATCACGCACTCCCCCCTCAGATGAGCCCAGACACACAGTGATATCACAACAAGGTTTACTTTTGATCACCTGCCAGCTCACCTTCTATAACGGTACACAGCAGATTACATAACATAACAGACTTATTGGTCCGTCGGGGTGTTTTTACATGCCTCATAAATCCAACCAAGCTAGACTTCATGGACTTTAGCTGGGCTGAAAACCAGTAACCAAGGACCTGGTGAACTCACTTTTACTCTGTTTTCTTTTCCAAAAACACTAATACCAAACCACAGAACTTATTTCAGTGGATTTTAGATTTTTCCCGTCCAACTAAAATGGAAGGAATCTCTGTTTTTCGATTTTCTTGACAACCGTCTTCACACTTGGTGGGTGTACTGCTGAGGACCTGAGGAACTGAACAGATAGGTTTTAAACAGGCACTGCACTATTTTTAAAAAAAACATCTCAAAAGGGAAGCTTGCAGACTTCTTACTTGACCTTGTACAGGATTGTGTAACTAGAATTCTGTAGTGCAGTTGAGATGATAGCAGTATGTTTGAGAGCGAAATAATCATCAAGCTCTCATTTTATTCCACTCATGTTCAAAGGAGTGAAATAAAACTAGCGCTCGGATTCCTGTGAAACCTCCTCAAATCAGCTCAAGGACTGTATGGAGAGCCCCCTTACAATGCACTGGCAATCACTGCTGCAGCACTGATCCGGTTTCCTGCCATGGGTTATGGAAAGATAACCCCTACGGTTGAAAGAAATGGTCGCTGGTAGATGACAGGACGTGATTCATGGTTTCAGTTACCCAAACATCCCACAAACATCCCACAAACATCATCCCAAGGACTTTTTTGTGGTCAGCCATGTCAAACATGAGCTCCTTCAGAAAATGACCAATGCTGTTATTTCCTGGAGAGGGTAGTCCTTCATCACATGACTGTAAGAGCTAATTTGAACCCTAAAAGCATTTCAATGCATGCTGTTTGTTTTTGTCTTCACAATGGTGGGCAAACTGACCAAGTAATCATGTACATCACAAACGAGCACTAATAAATATGTCTTATTTTTTCCCTTTAAAAGACCCTACAATTGAGGGACTTGTACTAGGATGCAAAAGACTTCTTAAAAGTTCATGTGAGCATAAAGCCATGCTCTGTAAACTAAGATGTCCGTAAAATGTTTCATCCTGACCTGGCTCCTTTCCTTTATATATTTTAAATATAGTAGTGGTGGCTACTGGTCTTAAGTCTCCCCAGCTAGGCTAGCTATGGATTCCAAATCACAAAAAAGGAAAGGTCTCAGACGAAAATTGATAAATAAAATAGTGCATGGACAGATTAGTTTGCTTTCACCACCAACGCTGCAGGATGCTTGATCTGCTGTGAGAAATTAGCATTAAGGCTCAAATATGTTTTGCAGCTTCAGTCTTTTGGCTAAAAAATGTCTCTTTTGATAGTAAAGGTTTATGACCCATGCCACAGAGCCATGCTGTAACCCTAATCGGCTGCAAAACAACCCTCTTGCCTGGAATAGGATTTCTGTGTGTTGCACAAGGACACTTCAGTAGGGAGGGGTGCTCAATCTCGCACTCTCTGAAAACTAGCTATCCAGAAACCATGACACTGTAACAGACAAACCACTGTTGGGAGAGCACACTACAGTAAATTGGAAACAAGCACATACAGTGCTTGGATCAGGGACATTCTTATGTAACATTACATGCCAGAGAAGTATTGGCTGCAGATTTTGGCTGGGAGGTCTGGTCTTTATTTGTGCCTATTACTGGTGTGTGTGAACATACTGTTTGTGCATCTATGTCTAGGACTGCCATTCAAAGCCAAACAGAGTAACAAGTACTAAAATGGAAAAAACGGTCATCAAGAGGTCACACTGCCAAAAATATTACTGGTTCAAAAGTACAATCTACTTTTAGCAGCTACATTAGCAGTAAATTCAATTGGCTATAAAAACTTGAACTCTACTTACAACTATTTTACGTTGTAAATGCGCAGAAAACAATTTGTTGTTGTAGTGCAGGGTACATGACGATATATGTTGAAAAAAGGGCAACTTCCACAACACTAAAGAATCTGTCTTGTTAAAAAATAGCATTCCCTAAAAACAACCTGACTTAACTTAAACACATTCAAACGTAGGTCACATGAAACTCCCGCAGACATACAGCTTGTTATTACCCTACATCCAGCCAAAAACCACTTGATTCATTGCCATCAAACTTTATGTAACTTAATATACCAGTCGAAAGCAGGCCAAACTGTTCTGTTCATGCTGGGCCTTCAGGCTGTAAAATAACGGTTACATAACACACACTATATGTTTGCTTCTCTGAGCAGCTCAATGTTGGTTCAGCATGTAGGTTGGGCTCTAGTTTTTATATTTCTTCTTACCTGACATGACCTTTTTAACAACCTGGAGGTGGACATGACATATGCACATCTGTACAGTATAATGCAATCCAATGACACAGGCCTGCAATAACATTGTGAAACTTATGTTTCAACTTCTTCAGCTAAGTATTGTTTAAGTTCTATGAATGATGTTCACTGGGTGTACAAAATTGTACGAACAAACTGACATGTAATGACCTCATCCATCAAAATTTACAGCCTCACATATAACCGCAGAGGTGAGTGTTTATCCTTGACACAGTTTCAAAAGAAGCTTCAGAAAGGTAGGATTTATTGCAGGGCTGTTGCAATGGATTGCATTATGCTGCTCTGTGCAGGTGTCCGCATGGTGCATCACAGGCAAATCTTGTTTTGACAATGAACAAGACAGTTTACAGATGGTTCAGTGAAAAGTAAAATTAAACGAGAGGAGCACTTAAATGGCAAAAGAGCTTTGCTAAAGCGGTTGGCAGAATTGATATTCTGCACCTTGAAGACAGAACCTGGGCACTTTCTGAATTTAAATGCAACTATTGTTCACAATACAACAATAACAACAAAGGCAGTGGGGCACCTTACAAATTTAACAAAGCATTCACTTGACC